ACCTGACCTAAATGATTACTATTAACATAGTTGGATCAAATTTATTTAAACAATTTGGGGTCAGGGGAGTAAGACTGAAACATCAGATATTATTACAGATAATCTATCTCCAGTCAGCTTATTGTGCTTCTGTATGCCTGTAGGTATTTGCACTGAGAATCTTTAATACATAATCAGTATGTGGAAATTAATATTTTATATTGAAATCATATTACATTAATATTTTATGCTTTAAAATACCACACTGAATAGTTGAAAAGTTCACAAAAAACACTGGGTTTTAATGATACTTTAAAAATACTTGTATAGAGTTGATTTATATGTCTTCAACCAAAGAAAGTGATATTCTTAGTCCAGATTGATCTGTTAACGCTGTGTTGCTCTGGTTCACTAAGTCTTCTTGTCTGTTAGTATCTACAGATGAAAATGAATTATACTCTTTGGAGTGGCCCATAACATTAATGATGAACGAATATTAATTTTGTTGCAGTTTAAGATTTGCTGTGTCTGGATGCAGGGGGTAATGCTCTTACATCAGTGATTTTTGATCTAACATAGCTATAAGCTCCTGCTGCTTCCTGAATCAATTCCACCCACTTACTTTGCCAGCTATTGCTTTTGAAAACGTTTTTGCTGCACCTTGGCTATTTTTACACATCTGTATTCAGATATATTTGCCTGTTGTGTTACGCTCAGTTTGTTTGCTGATTGCCACATTTTTTTTATGGTTCTAGCCCTACCAGGAACTGTATTCTCATGTAGTTAAACATGAGTGTAATCACTGGATGTGAACTGTTACAACAGGACTTTCATTGCAGACAATATTGGTATTATCATAAAATTGTTTGCTTGAACAGCTAAAAATTCTTTATTAGTCTAGTGAAGATGATACAAACAACATTCCCAAAGGCCTTTTCTGATTGTATGTATTTCATTCTGTCACTTACACTTTTCTAGGCAGTGAGTCTTTCACAGTCTGAATTAGGTTATTTACTAAATAGACAAGTGTGATTTATGGTTTCGCTGTGACTTTTCTGTATGTGAACAGATGTTTACGCATGTCATTCAGGAAGGGCATATTTATTTTGCTCTTTATGGTTCTCTGTTGTGGTGGCCCTCAATTTCATAACTTCCCTAGATGTGACAAGTTTTCTGGTTTACTAATATGCATCATTCTCAATTTAAGATAATACTGCCTTCCAGCTACAACTTAACTTTTAAGATTTATAGTAGCTGTATTCCATTTCTCCATCTGTCAATAATTTACATCTTGGTTTTGATCAGAAAAATACTTTTAATAAGGTTCTGTATTCATCATAAGAAAAAATGTAAATCAATGATAAATTTTCTATACACGGTCACATAATGATTTCTGAAATATGGCATTGAGTAGGAAATCATGTGTATGGGAAGGAAAATTCAGATACTCTACTTGCTTTTTCAGAAGCTTGTTGTGGAATTCAGACTGAACTGCCTGTAATGTTATGTGCCTCCTTGGGGTGCACTGAGTGAAGGTGTAACACGCTGTTTTTAAGATTAATGTCTTAATATCCATGTAGTAATAAATCTGTAATTTGTAACCAAACACCTTCACAGGAAATCTATCTCCAGTAATACACCATCAGACCACCATTTCTGCTCTTATCTGTATTTTTGATTAATATGTAAACCCTACAGAAAGATTGCTTAAATTGATTGCTTGTTCATGTCTTAACTCCCTAACTTCTAGTCTCATTCTTTAAGTATCCTTTACAAAGTTCAAACATTCGTATGTCAGTGGAAAAAAAAGTTACATGACAGTATTAAGATAAACTATCTTAATCAATTAAGAAAGTTTATCTTAATTAAAAAACAAATCTGATCTACCATAGGAATCTATTATCTCAGAAAAGTCTGAAGGAAGACATTAGCTTTAGTATATATTTTAAGATTGTGAAAGTTAGAACGCTGACAGGACAGGATATATTGTAATAAAGACATAGCATTAAGACTTGTATGTGTAAATGCTGGAACTATTTGGTGAAGTGAACAAAGCGCAACTGAAGATATTTTAATAGTATGAAGGGCTTCCTAGGTGGGATTCTAGCTCTGTAAGAAAAAAAAAAAAAAAAAAAAAAAAAAAGATATAAAGTGCAGAAATAGAGGAGAAATGCATTTAGACTTCTGACGGGAAGAGTTATTACATAGGATAGTACTAAACTAATAAGCATCTGTCCTCTGTATTAGATGAAGAAGGTTAAACATACAGTGAATGTGTTAAAATAACCATTTGGGAAGTTGCAAATAAACATACAAAAGCATATGCTCGCTGGTTTAATAAATTACTGGGGTTTGTACCCTCAAAACATTAACTCATTTTTCTCTCCTAATTTTATCTTAATATTCCATTATTTAGAAATGATCATCTAAGAAGTAGGGACATATTCGCACCATTTTTTTATAATGGATAAGAAAATACAGTTTTAGTCTTTTAAATATACATCTGAAATTAAGCTCTTGTCCATACTATAAAACTTGAAGGCTATCTAGAAAACAAATCCAATTATGACTTTAGCACTTGAGAAAGTGAAATCTGATTTAAGTGCTTCTTTCAAAAGAAAATTACCTCTTTAAACTTTTCATTATTAAAACTATAGTTATTTTTATCATTATAAAAAAGAACAAGCTTGGAAGAGAAGCTCTGTTTGAGGAGTTCACACTCTATAGTCTTTGTTTCTTTGTAGTCTTGTTTACTCAAGCTGAAAATTTGAGTCCTTATAAAAACCTCTGATTGTCTAGAAAATTAGCCAGAAAAAATGATTTATGATAGATAGTATGTCTTAGATATGGGACTAGAAAAAAAAAAAAAAATTAGGCATTAGAAAGATCAAAATGGGCTTGATTTTTTAAAAATTTCGTTATCTTTACAAAAAGTTTGTCATTACTGCTGAACATGCATAAAAATAGCAGGTTTTATCAAGTATAGTGAAAATAGGCAGTCATGATATAAAAAAAAGTTGGGAGTGGTGAGATCACATTTAAGAATTAAAGAGCAGTTCTAGGAGTGAAGGGCGCTTTACATGTAGCTTTGCATTTTCAAGAGAACTAAATACTGGGCTATTGCTGCTCAGATGAGATCTACAACCTCTGACCAGTCCTCAAGTGAAAGGGCTGAAGGATGGGTAAGGGATGAGACATAAGGTTGTACCCTGTGCAAATAAGGTACAGATATTTGCTCAAATTCTGTTTGTCTCCTTGAAACAGCAGTACTGCATGTGTATATAGATTTGACTTAGTCTTTGGATATAAAATAAAGTATGATAACCAGTTACCTTAAGTGTCCATTTCTCAGGAAAATAGACTGAAATCTTTAAAACTTCATACATCTGTGTTAAAACTCAAGACTGGCAGATATTAATTTTACAGAAAAAACCTTGAAATTATTTTCTAATTTAGGCATTTATCACCCTAATGGAATAAGCAGTGACAGTTCATTTCTTGCTGGGCAGAACTGTAGGAGAGGCCAGGGAAGAATGCCTGAGAATGGCATGACAAAATGGATGTAATTTTTATTAAACTGAGGTAATTTTTTAAAATTTTAATGTAAAATCCACCCAAAGATTAAGCAAAATGGAAAGATGTTCTGCTATATTCTACTCTCTCCATAAAAGCCTATCAAATATATAATGCTGGTCCAAACAAGTATCACCCAATTAATCTCACTGTTTTTGATGGAAAGTATGAAATACTTTGAAGACATTTGTGAAGACTAATAGCCTTAGTTGGGTAAAATGCCATTTTTTCTAGTATCTAAACAATTAGAAATGTTACTTAAAAATCTATTATATCTTCACTGGACACTGACTTCTTTTGGCCAGTGATATTTAAGATATCTTAGTTTTAACAGAAAAATTGGATGCATAGAAAGAGGAATTTAACGGTGAGGAAAGGAAGTAAGCTGAAACAGTGGAAAGGATGAGAGAAGAAATATGAAGAAACTTGTGAAATATTTTTTTGAGGATTTTGCCTCCAGGTAGAATCTAACACACATTTCTATTATGTGTCATATAGATAAGCTCTGAGAAGTGAGACTCCTTTGCCTGTATGTTGTGCTTGTGCCCAACAATCCCAATATTCTTGGATTACTTCAAATATTATTACTAAATAATAGTAACTTTGTCAGATAACCAGTTTTCTTTAAATTTGTCAGTTTACCTCTTGAACATTTATCTAAATTAAATTAATTTTGTGTGAACTGAAAATATATATTTTTATTGGGTTTTGCTGTTGGTCATTGCCTAAGTCAGCAAATATGTGTTAGACAACATAAGGAGCTCTTCTGCACTTGAGGGAAGTGTCTCATCAGGAAGGACTGCTAGAGAGGAGGGCTAGATACTTAGAAATGTGAATTTGATTTCTGACTTGGAGAACAAAAGTCCCCAGGTTCTTTAAGTGACTTTCTAACCACATAATTTGAATTTGAATCAATAATGCCAAAGGCTTTTCCTGCTTAAAATACTTTTCTATTGATAAAGTAGGTAATTAGCACATTATAAGAATAGTTAATTATAATTTCTTTAAAAATTATTACAATTACAACTTTGTGCAATTCATGTATATTCCAAAAGTACTGGCATATTTTTTGTGGTGGTTTGAAGTATGAGCAAAACTTATAGATGGGATGACATGAGCAAAAGGATGTCAACACTCTTACTAGTATATAGAGAAAATGGGGTCACTCATTTCTGTTGCTGTCACTCATGGGTTTTTGAAGTTAATCTCTGTATGACTCATCAGTCTTTTAAAGGATAGAATGCTATTTCAGCCAAATCATAAAGGTAGTATTAGTGTTAGAACTGTAAAAGGCCTTTTAATGTTCTGTTGAGATGTGCATAGTAAATCTAATATTATTTAATTGTAGAGCAAAGCAAGGGGTGTGTTGCATGGGGTTATGGTTATGATTATGATTATTTTTACCGGTAATTTTATAACTGTGTCTTTTGCTTGTGCTCCATGCATAGGGAGTTGGCCTCTCAGTCCATGGACATTTCCGAGTTGCTACGGAAAGGACACTTTTTGCAATGCCAGAAACAGCAATAGGTAAGTATTTTAACAAATTATCACGTTTACATTACATTACATTTATGTTGTGTTAGGAAATGTGTGTTAAAGTGTTTAAAGTTTCACTGTTTGTGTTATCAGGATGAAATGTCTTTGACTGAAAGCAGTGGCAGTAATGAAAGAATTTTAAAAAGGAATCAGAGATGACCATATATGGAAAGTATTTTCTATTAAATTAATAGAAACTTATCTGTATTCTGGGAGGTTGATCACTGACGTTCTTAACCTGGGGTTTACTGTCTAGACTGACACAAAGACTATCAGGATACAATTTTTAAAAAATGGAAGTAGATCTGAACTAAGTCTTAGCTACAGGTGTAGGCAGAAAAAGTCTGAAGATCCCAGTGCAAGTATGTCAGCTTTACATTTGGAAATCAGTAGCAGTCAAACTGTCTGTACTACAAGCTGATCTGCAATGTTAAGGATACAGATTCTGAAATTCCAGCTTTTCTTGTAAACTATTAATGTAGACTCATTACAGTTGTATACTGATTGCATGCAAGCAAGATCACAGTGTCACTATCTTTTTTTTTAAATAGCAACCTTGTACCTTGTATTTTCTAATGTTTGATCCTATAGCCTCTTCGTCAACTCTGAGAAATAGAAAAGAAAATGTTGTGTCTCAAAGCTAAATGAAGATCGTGGTTATGGCTCAAGAAAAGTCAGTCAATTTAAAGTAAACCCTCCTGTGAAATTGTTCATGTTTCCCTTCAAGACAATCCTGGCACCAACAGGGTATCCACACTGAACCTATTATTGTCTGGCATAATGCTTTCATCAGCATGCAAGTCCCTTCTTGCTGCTTATCAACAATGTTTATGAAGAGTGCTCAAAACGTTTAACCTATCCTGCATTTTCCTCCTGCTAAATTTCTAGTTTCTACATCTTTCCAAGGCAAGGCATCTGAAGGATGATTGCAGTTGTTCTTATCTTTATGTTCTCAAGCAGGAGAATGAGGCTAGTCAGTCATATGTGGCCCTGTTGAACACATTTACTCAGAATAGAGATCCTTATCTGGTGGTTAGACATCTTAAATAGCACCAGACTTGATGCTATTAGGTTCAGTCTTAGTTTCACCTCAAAGAATTAGTTGTAAGGACTACTGACCATTATTTTCTTAAAAGAATTTCCAAACAGTTACATAATGTTAAAACTAAGAAATAATGTAAAAAATCAGGACTGAATTCTGAAAAGAGAATTAAAGTTATAATATTCTGCTTTTGACGAGAATATTTCAAGTACAATAATGTCATTTACAACTAAAGTTAAAGTGCACATTTAGCTAATGATTGGATTTTTCTAGTGTCCCCTGTTACCAATGCTTAAAAGGTCTAGTATTTTTCATATTTTTAAAGGGTGTTTTACACATATTATCTATTGTTTATTGCTGTCCAGCCTATATGAAACATTTCAGAAGACTTATTCTGAAATTCTTAAAATATTAAATGAGCTGTGAGTGTCAAGTCAAATAAAACATAATAAACCCTCCAAATATAAGCAAGCTCATTTTAATTTTAAATCCTGAAAAAAAATTAGAGCAATTCCTGCTAGCTGATGTCATGTAATTTTTCTGAACAAATAACTCTGGGATAAGAAAAACTATTGCAGCCTTCCAAATATTTTTCTCTGCTGAAGGAAAACATAGTAAACTAAATAGCTCAAGCATTAATACAGCATGAATTTGCTAAACTCCTGAAGTTCATAATCAGTTGTTGCACAAGAAAACCAACTGAAGAAAACATTTTTTTTTTTTTAAACTAAACAGAGAGGTTCTTTGGCATATAACATTTTTCTAATAATAAAAATTCCTTCTTCACTTTCTTCTTGGTAAAGATATGAGGAACAAAAATGATGTACTTTATACACATTTCTTGTGTTGACAAGGACTGATTTAAACCAAAATAGGCCGTGAAGACATGTAAAGGAAAAGCTTAGAACTTGCTTAGGAAAGAAAGTAATTAAAACCCTTTTTAGGATCAATTAGAAGTAAACCCACTGAAATCTGTTTGGATTTAAGGGCTTAGCTGTTTTGATCTCTTTGGTGTATGTTTAAAGTGTCTAGCTGACTAGATACTGTATTAATTGATTATTTCATATGTTCACTGATTTCATTAGGGATGACACTTTTGCTGTGAAATGAAAACAAAGCATTCATTCAGCTGCTACATTTTCACACAATTGTTCTGCATTTATACACCACCATAAATAAAAGGATATAGATAGATATGCCACTTTGCAAATAGAAGTAAAAGGCAATTCTAGATTGTAGGAGTTTGAAACGGACATAGATAAGGTCAAGCACTGGAAAGCAGCTTAGATGTAGGAGGGTGTGGAAGAACCACTCGTGGGAAGAACAAAAGATGAAAGTATATTGTAAGAGGTGGGCTTTAAGGTGATGTTATAATAAGAGGACATTTTCTTCTATATCCCTCTATAAGTTTTTAGCTTTCTAGAAGTCATTTACAAATAAACCTCCAACCACATCTGCAAGATAAGGTAGGAATGTAGTAGTGCTTCCTTTATCTTATGGTTGGCAACTGCAGAGTTTCACATTTGGGATTACAGTGAAGCGTGCTGCATCTGTCTCGGAGCACAGACTGCAAGTCAGCATTACAGGCATAGGCTTTTCTCCTGGTCACTCCCAGCAGACATCCAGTTCTCTTATTTAAGTAGGGATCTGAGAAAGAATTGGTAAATGTTATCAAAAGGGAAAAAAATCAAGTATATGAAATACTTAAAGAGAAACCCAGTAGCAAGCAAAAACATATGGGAAGCATTATTGAATTAAGAAGAATACATAGAACAGGGACAAGAGGAGTAAAATTATGTGAAAAGGAGACATGGACCTTGAAAAGGATACAGTAGAATCTATAGTGGACTACGTTTATGCAACCAAGTAAGTTTAAAGTGGATTAGTTACATCTTCACTAAACCTGTTTGTAAATTCCTTAATAATTAAAGAAACCATTCAGTTTAATTTTATTCACCCCTAAAGCAACTTAAGCTAATCAACTTTGCAATTTATTTAGAACTAATTTTCCTGTGTATGGCCATGTGGAAGGGCCCTATAGATCCCAATAGAAAGGTGACTTGTCCTCTGGAAATTTACTGGAGCATGGGGAGAATAGGACTTCAGCATCAATATTTTAATTACAGCACAGAGGAAAAGGCTGTTGCTGTTGCAGTCCTGGTGGATGAGGAGAATAATGTAATTGTCTTTTTGCTTTGGAGGACATTTGTCAGAGAAGTTTCATTTTGAAATGAGGGATTTTTTTGCAGTAGTAGGATATCCAAGGGGAGACGGATGAATTGAAACATAAAACTAAATGACAGTCTTGGCATCAACATTATAGCTATGATGGCTCAAACTGAGAAGGTAAAATGCAGAATAGACTCTTCAGAATGTGTGTATAGATGAAAAAGAAGGTAAGTGATGAATTGGGGTTAATACAGCTTAGGACTTTTAAAGGGTGCAAACAAGACATTCAGCGTTTTAGGAGAAGAGCTGTTATATCTCAGTAGCCTGTGGGATGAGGAATAAATCAGCTAATGGCAACACGCACGTCAGTGGGAAAGGGAATAGAATACTACAACTGTGACTGATATGAAGTGGCTCCAATCAGTTCCTATCCTTTTCCTGTGGGGGAGGAATATTCAGAGACCCCTAATTTCACACATCTTAAAATACTTGTAATAGGGTCTTTCTATAGTACATAGACTCTTTTGTGACTGAAAGCAATTACTTGTGAATGAAAAATTACCACCTTCTATCAGAACCCATTTTAAACTCCTTATGGACATCTTAATCTTTCCAGTTAATATCTTTGCTTTGGCAAGTGTTTTCTGAGTTTCTTACTGCTCATTTGTATTCTTTTTCATTTATTTTCATGTCTCTCAAAGTGAAAAAGTCAACACCACATCTTTAATTTAATGAGAAAACTTTCAGTTTTGTGAATGCCCCATGAGTGATTATTTTGTAGTAGTAACTGGACACTGCTGCTTTCCATTTTGATTTCCAAGATTGATACAGCTAAGCTTAAGTTTTCTTAAGTTTAAGTATGTTAAAAGTTACAAAAAAAGTTTGAATTTATTTTGTAGGTGATTATATAACAGAATAAGGTAAATCTTGACAAGGAAATGATATTAGATATTTAGACTTTGATAAAAGTAGCTATATATTTTTCAATTACATGTTTTAAAAGTCTTTTAAAATTTATTCACAGCTTTGAATTTTTAGAAATTACCCAACTTTGTGGATTTAAAAAAAAAATAAATGTAAGACTGTCGCAAAGCTGGAATCTTTTAGAATTTTTTTAAATTGCGGGTTAGTCATAGTCCTGTCAAAGAGCCAGGTATTAGGTCAGCATCTCATGCCTCCACCTTCAGGAAGACCCTGGCAATATTGTTGATCTATTAATGAATTCTCAGCCCCAAAATCTGTTGAAACTTAGCTGTGCAAGGGGCACTTCATCATTGTTTGATATTTTTATTGTACTAAAAGATTTCAGAGAAAAAGCAGCATCCCATTTGAGTTTGCACAAATTATTTCATAATTCTTTGTGTCAGCTCTGTTTTTTGCTGAGAACATGCTTGATTCTTCAGAGATCTAAAAATGTCTCAAGTTGTTGGCAAATAGAACAAAGACTATTGTCTGGTATCTGTTCGTAAATTATGTACCACTGGAAAGGATACAGTTTGAAAGGTGTTCAAGAGTTTGCTTTTAGGAAGGTTTTGATGACAGAGAAATGTCAAACCAAGTCAAGGAGAAATATGGACAAGAGAGCCCAGCCTAAGTCAGGGAGATAGAAGTGAAACAAGAAGAAATAGCTGTTACATGCATGATTAGGACAAGTTCTTCTCCCTTCACTTTTTTTTTGGTTTTATTACAGGCCTCTTTCCTGATGTAGGTGGAGGGTATTTCTTGCCAAGACTACCTGGAAAGATTGGCTGCTTCCTTGCACTAACAGGATTTAGGCTGAAAGGAAGAGATGTACTAAAAGCTGGTGTCGCTACACATTTTGTAGAATCTGAAAAGGTAAGCTCCTAACCAGTGCTAGCAAGGGTGCAGCCTACAACTGTAACAAGTTTGAGTTGTGTAGCACACTAATATACTTTTAGCAACTTGGGTATATGCAGAGGCACAATTATATTAGCTGGCTATGCACTGTGAATGGGGATTGTAAAATACTCTCAAGCTGTCATTACAACACTTGCCAGATAGTGACAGCTTTGCTTGCAAGAGGGAGCAAATGTTGCTGTCTTAATGCTTCTACTGTCAAAGGGCATGATTTACTGAGCATAACTGAAGTTGCTTAAAAAACCGTACAATTTAGACAACAGTGTCTGAAATCAGAGATTATTTATACAACTGAAAAGTTTTTAATCTAAGTAACACCCCATTAATGTGTTCTTTATCAGTCTCCTTAACAGATATCCTATTTGTTTCTTACAGTTGCTGTAAGAAAGTGTAAAAATGAGTATATTTGATAAAGTCAGAGTCATAATGTTCCAGTAACTTGCATGGACATAAGTGAAGAAGAAACAATGACTTGCTTTTTGCTGTGTAAAGACCCATGACTATCATTGCGGAGCTGGTTAGATACCATTTTGAGCACAGCATGGTTGCCAGGCTCCTGCTCTTTCCTCTCAGCCTGCTGTAGACTGGCTTTGCCTGCTGCAGCTGTAGCACTGCATTGGGGGTCTGCTTGGGAAGCAGAGATCTTTGTTGATCACTGCAGACAGTTAAATCTATATGGATCAACACTGAAAAGTGAACTCTGGCTCCTTGTATTGTTTACTTGGTATCTCTTCAAGATCTGTCTGAAAGTTGGGGGGTGTGTTTGTTTATATACATATACACTATATAGTACTATTACCACAGCAGTAATAATCCAAGAAATAAAATTTGTTTTACTTACTTTTAATTCTTATTTTAAATAGCTACCTGCCTTAGAGAAAGACCTGATAGCACTGAAATCTCCTTCGACAGAAAATATTGCAGACTTATTGAACTCTTACCATATGAAGGTAATCTGATCAGTTACTGAAATCAAGTAGAATTTTAAAATACATGTAAATACAAATTCTTTTTTATCCACGATACTGATCATTTGTTTTATGGTTAAAAAATAATGGCTTTCCAAACTCTTTGCACTCTATAAAATACTAATTTGTAGCATTAATGTCTACAGTGGCCAAAATTAACATTTAAAATCTTTCTTCACTTTTTATTCATTTTGTATACCCTCAAATTCTTACTGTGATCAGCTAGCACTCTTTCTATGTGTGTACATAAGTTTCCAGCCAGCAGTGTGATGCAGAAAATGTTGCTTAATTTTTCTCCTGTTATTCTTAGATTTCTAGCACGCTTTGCAGAAGGCAAAATAGACAGCCGCTAGCAGACTGGCAGTTGTACATGTTGGCAAGTGCAATCTGGGGAGTTAGCCTGAAATTCAGGGATTCTGACAAACACAAATGACGGGTAGAACTATTGGCCTAGCCTAGAGGCTACAGAAGTTACAGCACCAGTTATTAAATGCTACATTGCTCACTTGGAAGTGGATGTTGTATTTCCATCCAAGAAACCCTGTCTTTATCAACCTGAAGAAATATTTTGCTAGCTTGATGCATTTGATGTAAATTTTAGCATTATTTTGATGCAGACCATCTGCAGTCCAGATTGGAAGCCTGAATTTAAAGGCTCAAGTTGTTCCTTTAATTTTTCAAATATTTTATATGTTTGTAACCTTGAGATAATTGAAAGACTATGAGTAAGCACAGAGTTATCAATAGGATAAATATTAGCAGAGTGCAGATATGTTGTAGGGAAAGCATCTGAGGTCTTAAAGCAATATTTTCAGGGGGAGAAAGGTGCTGTTTTCCCAGTGGACCAACCCCCTCATTCTCTGTTGTGATTTTGGAGGTGAATGTAACTGTATTGATAATACATAATTAGTATTTGTATTAGCCCCATGTAACAACAGCATGAAAATAAAAGGGTTTGGCTTTACAATCAGTTTATTCAGTTACTATTTTAGATGTTTTGATGTGCATTGTAGTTTTATTTCAAAAGAGGAAACTTTTAGAGTCAGATCAGGATTCAATGTATTCACTTAATATGAGTATTACAGTTGTTTGCCTTTAAAATGAGCAGTGTCTACTTCTGTTATTTCTGGCTTGGAATTACTAAATTCATAGATAAAGATTAATTAGAAAAATAAGTGGGATAAACTAATTTACATAGTAGTACTGATTATTTTGACAAAATAGAAAGCTATGAAGTAGGAGTGATTATATGTTGCAGTATACTGCTTTACGAGACGACATTGAATGGAAAAGGAAGCTGTGTATTTTTAGTTATGAGAGCTGAAATGACAGGGAACCGTTCACAGCTTCAGCCGCTGTTACTGAAACATCTGCTTACGTCCTAAACCCCTTAATGCCAGAAGATATGAAACATTTGACAGCCTTTCCACATAAGGCAAATGGATCTTTTGCACTCTTTAGTTGTCAAAATAAAAATTTGTAAAATGACAGAGGAAAGATAAGGAAGATAAATGCATTTTTTTTTGTCTTCTAAAAAAATATACATATGAGTACATTTTTATAGAAATTTTTTTAAAAAACATTTTCAGGTTTTTGAGTAGACTTATCTACACTGATTTTCTTAGTGTATTTGATAGAAATGTATTGACAAGAATAATAATGAATACTTGTGTACAAGATAACCACCCAGTCACATATGCATACATAGTAGCTCAGAGCAAGCACTGCATTATGAGGTATCATCTTTAACATTCATAAGATAAAGTGTCAAGTTCATTTATACACACTGCAAAATTGTAATTCATTGAAAATGTCAGTGTCTTATGAATATTAAATGTTTGGTTATGATATGATATTTCTGTAACACAAGTCATTGAAATTTGTCTGTGCTGATAAGCTTTTTAGACTAAAATAACCAAGTAAAATATGTATTTGCTTTTTAAATAGAGCAAAGTTGATCAAGAAAAGGAGTTTGTACTTGAACAACATATGGAGAAGATTAACAGGTATTTAACAATCTTTCTTCTTTTTTATTCTTTTGGATGGAGAACATGACGTTAAATCCAGTAACAGTATCCATGTTCCACAGATAAGGTGATAGAAATGACATTCAAGTTGGTCATTTAAACTTCTTTGTCTTTAGGGAGCTTTATCAGAAGCTTATTAAATATTTAACTCATCAGTATATTAAATACTTGAGCGTATTTGCTTGATTCATACACCATTATATTAAGCAACTACCCTATGGCACACTGAAACGAATATTTTCTATAGAAAATGGATGAGGATTTGCGAGAGTAGTTGTTCAGTTCAACAGGAAATGTTATGTAGCACATTTATACTCATTGGTATAAGGCCATTTTTATGATTGTTTGAACTTCTCTGTATCGGAAAGGGAAGGAAAAATAAGGGAGAGTCATAAGCAGCAGCTAAAACTCTTGAAGAGGGATGGTGGTAACTGGGTTTAGAGATGAAAGATGTTGAGACCAAACCAGTAGAATGGAGCTGATAGCTAAAGATTTGTTGTGTTATAAAAATACAGATAAGACTGATGGTAGTAATTTAAGTTTCTGGATAAATATCAGAGTTTGTAAGTGAGGTTTATTGAAATGCTAGAGATTATATAAATGAGAGGAGGAAATTATATAAATAAGTGGAGGTGCCTGTCAACTGAGTTACTTAAAACTGAACAACAGGGAACACATTGCTAAGAAAAGCCAAATCAGCTGGTTACACTCTGTTTCTAATTTCTGTGTTACTAGCTCTTCATATGGAAGACGAAGGCTGAAGCAGTTAACTTTTTGTTTCTTTTAGTCTTTTTTCAGCAAATAGTATGGAAGAAATTGTTAAAAAATTAAAGCAAGATGGTTCTCCTTTTGCCATTAAGCAGCTAGAGGTAACATCTTCTATGTTATTTTTGTTAGAGATTTTAAATCTGGTTCTGTACTTTCCTATCATGGGGCAGACTTCAGTCACCTTATTAACATAACTAATACTTGTAACACCAGTAACTGTGTAACACTGGTCTGAGATCCTCAGGTTCTGACATACAGTCCTGTGGAATTGTCAGTAGTTCTACTCAGACAAGAATATTCCTCTGTAAAACCATGCAATGTGAATACCATCATATGCTGCATAAAACTGTAATCTAGTAAAAAAAAACAAACTCCCTTTCCCTTTTCCCCTCCCCATGATCAGGGGGTTATTTGTGACAAAGGCTCCTTTTATAGCTTCTCATTTCATTGCCAAGGGTTGGAATAAAGCAAAGCTGTTGTTTTGGTTTTTTTCCATTCCAGATATCTTATTCGGAATAACAGCAAGCAATTTATCATCACAAAGTGTTTTTTGATATTTGTAATGCATTTGAGTATTGGATGTAGTCACTACTCAAAAAAATGTACAGTAATACTACACAATTAACACACACTCTAGCCTCAAAAGCAAGAAGCAACTTATTTATAAGTAATGTGTGTATTTGCTCTTTTTCCTTTCAAGTATGTGTATTCAGGTATCTTGTAAACATTCATCTTGGAGCTATTCAAACACTACTTACAATTGGATAGAACACAAGCATTTTTCCAGCAGTTTTAACTTTGGTTACAGCTCACAGATGAAATCCTGCTCTTGCAGTAAAATAAATCATCCATTATCTTCAGACTTTCATTTGAGCAGAAGGAATATAATTTTATAATGTAGTATCATTAGCATTAGGCATCCTGTCCCAGATACAGAGATACATTTTTGGTTTTAGTTTTTAACTAAAGATTTAACATTTTGTTACTGGAACTCTCAAACAGTTTTTGAGAAAGGAAGTTTTAAAGTTATCTTTGTACTAATCAGTACCCCTAGTACAATGCAAGAAGTTTAGCATAAGTATTAAAAAAGCAAAATTGAATGAAAGTGCTAGATAATTTTTTCCTCACTTATATTCAAGTAGTCAAATGAATTGAATAAAGTAGTCAAATGAGCTAGTGCCAGAATAATCCATTTTATGTGTTTGTAGACCTGAATTCTACCGTATGTTAACCATCATGGTTTTCCCCCAAACTATATAGGCTGTACGATTCAGTTCTTCATTTTTTCCCTGTTATAGATGGCAGGGAGTACATATTAAGGTCTGTTGAGACAGTTTGATAGCATGTTAATAGTCACTTTTGGTGGTTTTTATTTCTTTATAGTGTTGAGTTACAGGGCAGTATTTTATGTAGGTTATAAAGTTTAATACAATTCTGCAGGACTATTGATTAATTTCACTGGAGGTTGAAAACAATTAAAGAATTATTTGCATATAGCTTTTTCTAAGTTAATTTCATACAACTTTATGGTACTTTAAGATATACTAAAATAGCATATAACCTTTAAAGGGTGCTTTGTTCAAAATACAGTTGCTACTACAAAAGATGCAAGGAGCCTGGAGACACCATGTTCCTGAAATACAATAACTAAATAGTTTGTTCTGCTGTGTTTCCTCTAGTTACCCAAACCTGCTCAACTTGCTTCCTTCATCTGCATTCTCATAACTCAGATCTCCCCTATTAAAAAAAAAAGTTCTTGTTCCTTGTTGTTTAGCGGTACATTTGTTTAATATTTTAAATTTAGAATTTAAAACTATGTTGTCTACTTCAAAGTTAATGATTTTGTGTAACTTTTTTTTTTTTTTTTAAATTCCTGAACAGAAAAAAAAAAAGGGCTTTTTTGTTGCTTCTTCGGTTTTCTTATTTCATGCCTTTAATAGGACTTTATAGCAGCTTTTTTTCTTTCATGGAATTTGTAAATGAATGACTGTCCTTGGAGTTGACAGAAGTTTCTGAACAATTGTCTGTTATCCATTCTGCTCAAGAGATGAAACTCTGATAATGAATTGCTTCTGTCTATACAGAAATTTGTGGGGGAAAAAAAAAAAAACAAAAACAACAAACCCCACATTTTCTAGCTGGTGCAAGGCTTAGTGTGAACAAGTGCATAAGTTTCAGACAAGTTTCAATAGCACACATTCTGTGCTAAGCAGTAGAATTGAGTAAGCCTGTAGGATCAGATAGTTTATTTCTTCTGTGAAAGATCCACAAAACTGAAGAAGGAAAATGCATTTGTGGGGAAAAAAGTTAAAAAGAGATTCAGGTATAAATCTGGCTTTCTCCTGGAAATGCTTGCCACTTAAACTGGAGCTTTTGTTTTACTAGGGAAGCAGAATTGTAATTAAACTTAATTGTAGCTGGAGGAAGAATGGTAGCTTGCACCCTAGCAATTCAGCATTTTACAACACCTTCAGACAGAGCACTGGCCTGCTGTCACATCGCCTGGAGGAACAGAGTTCCAAGAGCTGGTTAGAGCAGGGAACACGTAGCAAAACCATGATAGTCTGAGATTATCGGACATTATCCTTTATAGCAGTTCACTGACTTGTGTGAAGCAAGTTATTTTCCTCATCAGTATTATCACAGTACCAAGAGTATGTTCCATAGATGATAGTTCCCTGTCACTTTGTGAAGCCAGAGTTTCACTTCAGTGTCCAGGTACCAGAACAATAGCACATTCAAATGATAAATACAGAGACTGTAAAGGCTTCAGTCACAGCAATGTGTATGCTTATTTTCTTTGTTTCCCTGTATTAGTAAACTTATGGAATAAACCCTAACTGAAAGTCTAATACAAACACCCTTATTTGGAGGTACACCTTGGTACATCCACACCTTGGATGTACAGATACCTTTTAGTGTTAATGAAGTAGAACTACTAGTGCTGCTGTAATGAAAGTATGCTGTGAGCCATGCTATCCCAGGTATCCCGTTCTGTTAGATCTACACTACTTCTGCTTTTTACTTTCAAAACATGCCTGCTTGGCAGGCTTTAATGTATGTGATAATAAAGTGGTTTGCATAAGTAAGAAGAACATAAGAAAATTCTACTTGAGAACGGCTTAATGACCTCCTGAGCACTGATACTTCACAGTTTAATAGCCTTCATTGTTACTGACTGAATTCCAGTATAGTGTGCAGGACACTGCAGAGACTAAGAATTACAAGACACCTTGTCCAGATCTCCTGGTCAATCAGAGATGCAGACACTAGCTCCTGAAACCTTCAATGGATATGCAGCAAGTGCGATAGGGTGAGATAGATGACAGGAGTGGAGCTGGATGGTATCACGGTTGTGTTGAATTCAAGTACAGAAGCATTATGGAACTCTGAACAGACTAGTAAGAGAGTGATGTATCTTACGTGTCCTTAAGCAGCTTTCCTATGGTGCTCTGGCTAGCTACTCATATTTTGTCAAAGCTCATCCAGAACCATTATTTGGTACCATTATGTGGAAGAACAGATGCTTTGGTATGTCAGAAAGTAAGTGATGGGTGTTTTCAGCTATTGCCAGGGAAGTGATACACTGGACCTCTGGGAGTTTTTTTGTTTGTTTTTAAATTAGATAGCCTTCTTCAGGGACCCTCAGCAGCTCAGGTCAGAAGCCTTGGAAACAAAAGATGCAGCCACTATTCCAGCTGTTACTCTTGTAAGGGACTCCACTGAGTCGGTGCCACTTAATTCAGTCACCTTGTGATAGCATCTTACTGGAATTAAGGTCTATTCCAAATTTAATTTGTAGCTTTTAGGATCATTATGTTGAAATCAAGATGGTCTCAGAGATACTGGAATAGATGTCAAATACTTCCATGAAGACGACTTTGCATTTTAGTACTCCCCACTTCAGCCTATCCTGTCTCCTTTTCAGGCTTGTTCCCTAGCACCGATCCCCTCATCTTTGTACAGAGTATTTATAGATACATGGGTGACTCATTTTTCTGCAATTACACCTACCCATTTTCTTTCCTTGTTCCTCTTCCTTCAGCTTGATTTATGGCAGTGCCTCCTCCACCTTCAACCTCATTGATATGCCAAGATAAGGCAGCTGCTAGATGCACTAGACTGGTTAAATACTGTTTTCAGATCTTCCCCATTTCGGTGCTTTCTTTAATCAGAAACAACTTGCCATTATTGTTTCTCCTATGGAACCATCTGGTTGCACTGTGCATCCCATTTAACCTGGTCTGAGCAAAAACTTTCTAATCTAGATGACAGAGTGTGAAACGCAAAGGAGAAAATGTCCAGTTCAAAGGTAGAGCCAGTAAGAGCACATTATGGGAAATAAGGGGTCCAGTTAAGAGTTGCTACCCGAGACCTACATAGTGATGTAATTAGAGGTATAGCCGGTTTCTCTTAACAGCTGAAAGGCAGTTAATTTTTAGAGCTTTACCAGAACTCAGGAAATGTGGACAGTTTGAGCCAGCAGTAATTCTTTCTAAACCAGCTTCTCTCTTAAGTGAAGTCGTCAACATGCAAATGGAGGACCAGTGCTTTTAAGCTACAATTGCACAGCCTCCTGCTTGTATAGCAGTTGCATGTTTTCCAGCTTAACTAGGCAAAATGGGTCACTGCTGTATCAGCTGGTGTCTGGAGAGGGATGAAGAGTAATTGGGAGCCAGAAAAAATGTTAATGTTGATGACTGGAAACCTGCCATTTCAGTCTCTGGGTAAGGAGTCTAATGTCTGGAATGAAAATAATGTAAAGAGGCAAATCTTACCATCTGCTGCTTTTCAGTAGTGGTAAAAATGTCCTAATTAACAGGAAATGTCTATTGTACTGTGAATAATACAGAGCTTTTAGTTGGGTTTACAGGAGAAGAAGAGTCTTGTTTAGAGTAAGGAAACAAAGATCAGCAACAATAAGATTTAGTGCCTTTCCCCCACAACCCTGAAAGCTTTGAAGCTCAGTTCTGTTTTCTTAACTAGGTTTTTGTCTTTCTCCCCACCTCCCCCTACTGTTTACTGCCATGCTGTTAATTGAAGGACAGTCATGAGAGCCAGATTTACAGTATTTGTTTGTGCGCCTTAAACAGATCTTGTCTGTTGGCTAATATTTATAGCCAGTAGCTCTGTCAAAAGAGGGAAGGCAAGACCTCTAGGCTTCCTATCACAAGAGCAGTGTAGGGCTAAATTACTGCACTATCTGTTGATCCAGACAGGAAGTCTGGACAAATACGCATTCATGTATCATTTCTTTTAGTATTTTTTTTCCTCCACAACTTTGTTCTTCATATATTGTCTAGTCATTGATGATGATCATAAAGCAACTACTTAAAGCTTATCTCATTGTTATTATCTTACTACTCTGACTACTGTACCAAATAAAACTCAAATGCTGTATAATATTGGCTACAATATCAGTAACATCTAAGAGCAATTCAGAAATGGAGTATAATTACTTGTAAAACTCACGTTCACCTCTTAAAAGAATCTGTTTGGAAATGGCTTTCAAGCCACATTAGATTCCCTGGCTAGTAGTAATTTGACCATAAACAATGTGACCTTAGGAGTTGTAGGCTTCCCACAAGTGATGGCATACATCCCAGAGATCTTGTTGATAAAAATTGACACAAGTAAGTTCATTTAGCATGACAGCATGGTGGGAGAGAGCAGGAGGAATAGGTATCACAAGTGAGCTCAGGGAGAAGAGTAACATCATTTACTTCACAAAGTTTAAAACACAAAAAAGACAGACTTGCAAATGTGTCTACATTGAAGAGAATAAAACTAATTGTTAATGTCTTCCCCAGACTATTAATAAGATGTCGCCTACATCCTTAAAGATAACTCTCAGGCAGCTCAAAGAAGGAGCTTCCATGAGCTTACAAGAGGTACTCACAATGGAATACAGACTGACCCAAGCATGCATGGTAAGCAAGCAGCTGAGCCCTTTGTTTCTTTCCAGCCACAGAGGTGTAGCAAGTTTATCGGAGAGTATGTTTTATATAGATTACATCAAGGGCCCACCATTTATATGTTTTAATTTTCAGTATCTCCTTTTTGTGTTCGTTAGGCTGTCACTGTCTTTGTTCCAGTTCCATGGTTTTATATGCAACTCAAAGGAAACTACATTAATGATGGTCCGATAGCAGTAGTAGAAGGCTTTTGTTAAGAGAACTATGATAATATTACAGTATAGAAAGGTTTTTATTTGGACCTTTATTTTAAAACTGGTGTTCTTCAACAGATTTCCTATTTAAATTACTTGGTCCTCAGTGACTCATTCCCATCAGCAGAATGGGAATAGCTGTCTGTCACTGCTTTCTGGGAGTGCTGTAATAGATTTCTTAAAGAAAACGAGATTTTAGAGTAAGGACTGAGTACTTGGATTACATGAGGAAGTGATCCTTTCAGTAGAATAGAGCTACTAACAATTATCTGAAATATATTATTATAACAAATTCCTCATAAAACTTCTCCATGGCATCCTTATTATTAGTTTCGTCACATTTTAAAACAATATTTTTATGAATCTGAGTAAATGCTTTGTGATAATTAAAATAAATGCTTTTAAAAAAGAGTGAAAATGTATTTAATTCTGATATGTTGTAGTGCCTGACAGTATCCTTGCCATATCTTTCCCAAAACTAGTATTGTTGCTCCATTGCTAATGAATCATCATTAGGGATTTAAATGTTATTGTTTACCTTCATAAAAAAATAACTGGATGTTTCCAGGATTCCACTTAACTGCAAAGTGTTCCAAGTATGCGGAATACATCACGATTCCTGAAGGCTGGCCTTTTTCTGAAGAATTTCTAATCCTATAAACCTTAGCCCTCATCATGCAAAACCCTTTAGAAAAATCTATGAGATGTAACACAAAGGGGGCTTGCACTGCATAAAAGTTGGTTTATCAACTACAGTTCAACAGACTGATTTTAAGAGCTGTGGCTGAGAAAGTAGGACTAGATGAGAACAGTTCAAGTGGGATTTAACTGAATCTTGAGAACCTACATTTCAAACAGAAGTGGAATGATGGGACAAATAGAATCTGTCATGTTACAGCTGCTTTTTTAATCTTTCAGAGAGGCCATGACTTCTATGAAGGGGTTCGAGCAGGTAAGCATGCACACCAGAAATGTTTCTCAAGCTTAATAATATGCAGACTCACTGTTGTGTTGCTTCTCTGGAGGTTAAGAAAAGTGCATGCAGCAACAGCCCAGAGAACACTTCCCAGCTTGCTATAGTTTTCTCTTATTGGACTCCTGCATGGCCAAAATTTATTATTTGTTCCAAAGCATAAAAGCCACGTTTCCTTTGTGTAATCTCAGTTTCCCAATGTTATTTATCCACCTGGTAACACAGCACTACCACAAAGTTTCATCAGTTCATTGGAGAAGTTCAAAATATAGTTAATGCTGACAGTAGTAAATAGCTATGCATATCATTTGTGTGTGCAGATATAGTTGTGCCACATAGCTGGTTCAGCCAGCTATAAGATGGTTTAAGACTCAAAGTTAAGAACAACTATTTGTATTTTAAAAAAAAGTTAGAGACTACTTTCACCCATATCCACACCCTGTATAGAGGTGTCTTACTATTAAAAAACCAAAATGTAAACTTAAATAAATCAGCATTTTAAGGCACTGATCAGGACAGACAGTGGTAGTAGAGCAGTGGCTCAGCAAGTTCATCTAGGGGACAGGCTTTGATTCTGTCCTTGATTCTACCGCTGATTCACTATGCAGTTTGTCAAACCCAGTGTCACATCTGTTAGAAGCTGTAGTAATTATTTATGTACTATTCAGCACAAGATGAAATAAAGCACAGGCATTTCCTTTTCCAAGGACTTTACAGTACAAGACTTTTGGATGAATAACACTTTGGGGTTGAAGGAACCTGGCTTTTAATTCACACAGTTATACAGTCGAGTATGTATTATCACCTCCTCCTCATTTTTTCATGTCTGTCTTCATGAAGTAGTTTAAAATCCACTTGAGTAATGGAGTGTTCACTATTAGTAATTAGATAGCCTGGGGTGAGAGATGCAATGTTTGTTTGTACAGCATGGAAAAAGTTTCTAATTTTCACTAATTAATCTTTAGCACTTACCAGCACAGACACCTTTGAAGAATTTAACTACACATGTTGAGAAGTACATGGTTTTCATTGGGTTGGTAATGAGGACAAGGATATTCAAAAGAATATTCCTAGGATATATTTTAAATCACCATATAAGCTGCTGGAACATAGTTATTCAGGAAGTGACAAACTCAAAAGTCTGGGAGTCAGATAAACACCGAACCAAATTTTCACTTGTAATGCACAAGGTCATGAAACCATCTGGGGATGCAGTAGAGGACAAAGGCAAATCACTTGTCAGTATGGCCAGTAAATTACATAAACTGCTTTTAAAGAAAGAAGCTGCAAGGACAGCAGTTGAGAAGCTTCTCTTTTACACAGAATGATGTAGCAAAGGTTTAACTGTATCAGGGGAAGAAATAAAAAAACCCACCAGAGATCCAGCTGCACTGAGGGGATTGCTAAGAATGGTAATTTGTTCTTGAAGCACTTGTGCTCTCTGCTTACTGCATATATCTTGTTCTCAGATTTGTATTCTTAAAATTGTTTCTCTTAAGCGTGGTGCAGAATCTGACTCAAGATCACTTTTGTAGTTGCATCTGATCGCATGAAAATCATTATCCAACAATGTGCTGAGCATCCTTTGTAATGGGAAGATTATTAAGTACTTCACAGGATCAACCACAGTGAATAAAAATGAAAATGTTAATTATTAGCTTTTTCTTTATTAAAGCATTACATTCCAAGCAATTAAGAGCCAGCTGTTGACCCTAACACAAGAGTATCTACCACAAAGTAAAGACATAATAATCAGATTTTACTTTTTGAAGATTGTTTTTCAGTGGCAACGGCCATAGGTCAGGTTTTAATAACAGCTTTTATCTGCTTCAAGCCATAACTTTAATAGACATGCTAGGGAAGTAGTTTGTTTAAAAGCTTTTTAAAGCTGCTTTGACCTGAGGTCTAAATTTCATTTTTCTTTTAGTCAGTCTTCTTTCAACCACACTGAAAATCTGCTGGCAGTCTCCCTCATTTATAATTCTTACGATTGGAGCTACTAAAGAAAAGACAAATCCCTTAAAGCATAAAATTCAGAGATCATATTTCATCAACATTTTCCCATATAATGGTAAATATGGTCTTTGATCACTTCAGTTATTAATTTTTCACCTTGATTTAGAGAACAATACATAAACTAAGAAATGCATAGCCCTGAGTAATTTCCAATAATTTTGTGTTTTAATTCTTAACTGGATAAGAAAAGTGGTCATTTTTTGGAGTCACTGCTCAAATACATCCCAGTAGACTACAATTGCAGCAGCCAGAGGGGACAAAAATCTGTTAAATTAGCTTCCTAACTATTTGTGCAGGAACATACAGTTCAAACAGAATTGTGAAGGCCTTCTGCATATTGCTGATCCTGCAAAGATCTTATTTCTGTGTGGCTCCTGCCCTCCCTCCTGCAGTGCTAGCAGCTGGCAGATGTGAGCCTTACCCTGGGCACACAAACCCCCTGCAGTCAGAGGGTAGGGAGAGAAATTTCACTGTGACTAACAGAATTTCAGGTGCATAGAAATACCAATGTTTTGACTGTGCTGAATGAAGCTAAGTAATAGAAGACTAACTGAAGTCCAGTGAAGTCACTGCCACTGAACAGAGGGGTTTTGGGTATTTTTTTTTTTTAAGCTAAAACAAACTTTAAAAGTTAGAACAAACCCTTAAAACAATGTGTATGTTCGGTTACTTTTATCTTAAAGAACTTCCCTTAGCCTACCTTAGAAGTCTTCAGAATTTTTGTTCTGTTCTTGTAATGATCAATATCTCAAGCTGGAGAAATACAAAATATACAGAAGTTAATGCAGAAAGGGACTATTTGCATGATACTATTAGAAAACAAATATTTTAACTCATATAAGAGTAAAGATTTTATTGGACACATCTTTATGAGCATTCAATTTATCTACCAGAGTAAAACTGGCCACACATACAGACAGAAAGATTAACTTGATTACACATTAGTGCCATAGAGTGGGGAATTACCAACAATTACTACTGTATTTCAGAGTTGAAGCCGTAGTAGTATACACACAGATATTTTCCTCCCCAATTTTTTAAAACATAACAAGGAGAAAGGGGAAATTAAATTGCTATTTCATAGAATGACAGAATGTTAAAAACAGATTGGCTTTAAAAGCAAGAGGAAGTAAAAAATGAAGATCTAGTTTCAATCTGTGAGAGCCAGGAACTACAGGAACGTCACTTAAATGAAAGAAAGAGACTGAAGTGACTGTCATTTCATTGATTGGAAACACAGCTAACCCACATTGCTTCCTCGTATTGATTTCTGTAGGAAGTACCACTCAAAGTTGTCTATAGGTGGTGTGATGTCTTCTTTTCCACTGACTATGGAATAACTGGAGACATCTGAAAAGTTACATGGCTTTCTCTAGAAGATCACCAAATGCATGAGTTATTTTTAGGTAAAATT